AGGCTTTCCGTCGGTCACATGGTACCAGAGCCAGAAGAAGCATCCTAGTATTCTAACCTCAGAGACTGGACTCTTAATCACTGTGCTGTAATTTTTAAAAAAGAATGTGCTTCTAAAAATGCCTGAGGTTGGCCTTAAGTAATTTGAAATGTTGTCTTTTAGATTAAGTTCTGATGCTATAACCTGCTTACAAATTGTGATTTAAAAATTGTGATACAACCATGTATAACCAACAATCTCTCATCTAACTTTGAAAGATTTGCCTTCTGTTCGAAAACTTTTACTTTTTTTTTTTTTTAACAATCTTAGTCTGTAGAAGAAGATATTTTCGTGGGGAAAACACACACACACACACACACACACACACACATACAGTTATAGACAGAAATTCAAAGTGACCGGTGGATTTGTTTCATGCTCTCCCCCACCCTCTGCCCGTCTTTCCTCTGAGCTGTTCACCCTCCTGCTCTTTCTCTTTCCTGAGGGCGCCAGAGTGCCCTCGCTCCAGCAGTGGGCAGCTGCTTTAGGACACAAGAGCCCATTTTTCAATCTGTAAATATGAAGTATATTGTATTTTTAGTTTAACTTTCTTATTTAAAACAAAAACAAAAACACCATGTATTTAAATGACAACAGCACGTTAGAGCTCATCTTTGATTTCCTTGTTGTGAATTTGCCCATCTTGAAATTCTAGAAGGACTGAAAACAGGCGGCTTTCATTAGATGAGTGTTTGAGAAGCCCATTGTGGAGAAGTACATCTAAAATAAAATAAAAACTTAAACAGAACAATATTCTTGAATCGGCGATTGCCATGCCCCCTTCTCTGTTCTTGTTGGGCCAGGTCCAGCGGCCTGAGCAGAACAATGAAACACCATGAGCGTGAGAAAAAAGACAATGTATAACAGATGGCTTCTTCTTTAGATTTCATGTTTTGAAACTAGAGACAGGGCATATTGGGGGAAGTACACTGAGATACATTAATATATAAGACATTGGTTTTTAGCAGATGGGAGAACAAAATCCATGCAAATAATAGAGCCTTGGTTGAGGTTGGCCTTAAGTAATTTGAAATTACTTGACATTATTTATGTGTTTTCCTCTAATACTTGGCTGAATACATATTTCATTTATCTAAGAAGCTATACTAAATATTATACCTAAAGAAATGTAATTTAAAATACAGAGTTACAGAGTTTCACACATATGTTTATGAAACGCTCCCTGCCCACTCCATCCCAAAAAAAAACCATGAATTTGGTGTATATTTTTTTGGCTAAACTAATTACCAAAAGACTTCAAAACTAAAGAGGTAAAATGCATATTTACCCATTTGCATCAAGAAACTCTCTTCCTTTCCTCTCTTTTCAAAGTGACTGCTGCCTAAAATACACAGGTATTTGAAGCAAAGTCTTAATTTTTTACATTGGGGAAAATATCTTGTTTGATCTCCTTTAGATGCTTAACTCATTGGTGAATATGTAAGAGGTTTGCAGAATTGATTGATTGATTGATTGATTGATTGATTGATTGATTTCTTAATGACTGGTTATTGCTGGGTTGATTTTTAGAAAGGAAACCAGGACTCCTGTGCCCATAGCCAGCAAGTATTCATGGTCCTTTACACTCCATTAGAATGTGCTTTGGGCTGTTTTTCTAGAAATGATGAGGAATTTGATCTGATTGATCAGCTCTCTAGCTAGCCCTTCTGGTGATCAATGTCAACCACTTCTCCTTAAGGTGGGGAATGCTGAGGAACAGTCAGTTTTTATACAATTACCTCCTCCATGGAATTTTCCTCCAGCCAGCTGGCTCATCTCAGCACTGAACTCAAATATAAGAAAGTTAGAGAAAGATAGCATGGATAATAAGCAAATGAAATGTAGGTGACTTCTAGCTTGTCCATAGGAAGAGAGATATAATAGAAAGGGCACTTCCTCAAGAATGTGGTTCAAATCCTGCCACTGCCATTTACTAGCTGTGCAAAACTGGGCAAGTTAAACTTAACTTCTCTGGCCTCTTGTATTCTCACCTTGAAAATGGTATCAGCAATATACAACATACAGTTGTCATGAAATTAGATGAACATGTGCCATTGACAAGAGGTAGGATTTGGTGAGTTAGTGAACTAGCACAAAAGTCAACTCAAAATATACAAAACATATGAACATACAAACATGTCATTGTAATTGGAAGACCAATCACAGGTGTTGTAGCAATTGTACAATATAATATATAACTTTGGATTTCAAGAGGGTCCCAATCCCAATGGCAGATTGTTGTCATGATAAAGATGTCAGGATATCTTCAGTGGAAATGGTTTAGCTAAGCCCAGATCAAATGAACAAAAGGAGACCAGTCAAGATTGTTATCTTTACTCTTGCTCTGGAATGCACTTCTCAAATCCGTATTTGGATAACTCAGAGTTGTTGTAACACACTCGCACAATTACCTACATACCCCAGTGATCTATCTCCCCTTCACCCCAGTGCCCTTTTCTTCCATGCATTTTCAAGTCACAAGGCTCAATGCAAACTTTTCCTTTCCCAAGCATTTAGGGCACTTCCTGCAAAAAGTTCCCTTTTCTACAAAGTGATTTAGTACTTTGCCCCTGCCCCCAGACACTTTGACATTTGTGTGTAGTCTCTGGTATAGAGTTTTGTCTCAAATTTTATGAGACTGGGGAAAGGACATGGTCACAATTTGTATAAGGGAAAGGAAAATTGATACCCTGCTCATTGTAGGTTTTGTCTCTGAAGCTCCTCCTCCATTTCCTAGTCCCACCAATATCAAGGCCATTTTCTTTCAGGCCTGGTGAGTGAGAGATTATCTACATCTGTCCTGCTGTTGCCCTGATGACAGTGAGTGGCCTTGTTTCTAGTGGTCCCTTTCGTTTCACAAGCCTGTCTCCAAGAAAAGGGGAGCGGTTAGAATTGGAAGGAGGAAGAAGGAGGATGCTGGAATACCAGGAACAGAGGGGGACAAACAGCCCCATGTGGGACACCAGACCCCTTTTAGGGAAAGGACCTACTTGGAGAATTGGTTAATGGAGATACCTCCACAAACCCCTTCCTTGGCTAAAACAATGGAAGCTATTGCTTTATTCTTTTTCAAAAGAACAAAGCCAATATGCAGAGGTTGGTGAGGCCTCTTATTTCATTATCTAGTCTCCTCTTGGTGTCATTGCTAAAAAAATATGCCTTAATGGTTATCTTCAGCTATTTTGGCATTAGAAAGTATGGAGACATTCGTAGATGACCTGCTTCTGGGTCGGGGTTTCGTATGTAGCAGAGCAGCTCCCTCGCTGCAATCTATTGAAAGTCAGCCCTCGACACAGGGTTTGTAAAAAAAAAAAAAAGTATGGAGAAAATACTTTCATGTTTATTTTCATTTTAAAAATTAAACAAACAAACAAACAAAACACTTGTAAACTTTGTTTCCAAAGTTGATCACTCTAGCTGTGGATTCTGGGATAACTTCCTCCATCCCTCTCCCTTTGGTGGGAGGGAGAGCGACGTAAGCCTTCTCCTTCGTTTGCCACTTTGGATCCAGTGCTCCTCCTTAACCACTTAGCTTTTCTCTGAATAGCTATAGGTTGGTAATAGCGGGCAGGAGCATCAGAGAAGAGTCACCATGAGAACAGAACAGCACCACAAGACAGAAGACAAGAAGGAAAGAAAGCATCTCGGAGGAAGAAAATATGGCTGCCCGTTACCCCCTAGCAGAGATACCCAGCCTGTTGAGCCCAGACCACTCACCAGTGGAAGAATTGCAAACTTCAGTGGTCACAAGCTCAGGCAATGATGGAGAAAAGAGTGGGCCCCTTCTGAGAGAAATTATTTCAAGTACAGGAAAGCCAAGATATTTTTGAGATGTGATTCAGACCTGAGAATGAAAATGAGGATGGGACACTTTGAGAACTCATTAGCTCATTTTTAATGCTGGTGAAGTGTCGAAGTGGCACCATCCCAATAAATGGATACTTAACCCTGGGTTTCAAAAAACCCAGTGAAAGACTCAAAGAAGCCAAGTTCATGTGTTAATGCTAAAGTTGGCCTTCTCATTTGTGGAAGCTAGAATTGGTTTTCTCAGGGGCAGAAACTAACATAAGACCTGGGTTCAAGTTCCCACTCCATTTTGCTTAGTGTTAACTAGGGCCAAGTCATGCCTCCTTTCTTACCCTGAATAACACCTTGCTTGAGGTAGACTTTTAAAATGTCCTGAAAATGAGAAAAATGTTTAACATGAAATGTACTCCAGGCCTGTGGGACAAAGTGGAGGAAGGCAGGGTGCAAAAATGAGAAGAACCCCACCAAGATAATTCTTTTTTAAAAAGTTTTGATTAGATGAGATGAAATGAAATAGCAGAGAAGCTATTTGAGAACTTCAGCCTTGTAACCCAATGTCTACTTTAAATGCAAATTGAAGATAAATCAGTAGGTGATGGGAGTAATAGCTTATATTTTACCTAAAAACATCAAAAAGGACTCCCAAGTACACATATAAAATAATAATTCTTTTAAAAGAATTTAATGACAGTTAATCTATGTGAGTCACCACAGTGCTTGAATTTGAGACTATCCAGCCAGAAATTTTTTAAAGTATCTCTCTTGATCCATACACACACACACACACACACACACACACACACACACACACACACACACACACACACCACTTCTTATTCACACTCATAGCTTCCCCAACTAGTAGTAACCTAGGAAAGAATTTGATTGCCCTTTCAAATCATTACAGAGACATGCAAAATCAACTCTTGAAGCAGAAAACGGGTGATCACATGTTTGCTGACACAGCTGATGCCTAGCCATCCTCTGGCTTTTTCCCCTCTATCTTTTGCGATACCTCATACCATGTGTAAAATCCCATTGCTAGGTGGGATGAGGGTTGGGGAGTGTAGAAGGAAATACTGTTCCCATTACCTTCCACTGGAGAATTCCCTGGACTGACTTCCTGAAAATCTTCTTCTGTTTGCCTTCACCAGGAATGGCGTCCCTAGATAGTAAGGCATCAGGGAAGATGGGAATGCGAGCTGTAGTCTATTACATGACTACCACCATCATTGCCGTGGTAATCGGCATAATCATTGTCATCATCATCCATCCTGGGAAGGGCACAAAGGAAAACATGCACAGAGAAGGCAAAATTGTACAAGTGACAGCTGCAGACGCCTTCCTGGACTTGATCAGGTATGTCCTTTCAAGCCCATTCCCTTGGGTCTGTTTTAACCACCCAATCCCTCTTATTTTGGAGAGGTAATCAAACCCTGAAAGAGGTGTCCAACTGAATCAACCCTGCTGAGCTTGAAATGAAGATGCCATCTTCACTTCTTTCTAACAGAAATTAAAGTAAGGATCCATTATTTGATCTTATGTGAAAGACGTAAGAAGAGCGAGGAGGGGACACAGATTTTGAGAGCCCTGCTTTTATGATTCAGATCTGATCACTCAGTTATCCTTTCAACTGTGCTGCTCACCTTGGATTAGTAATGATTTTTAATTTACTTGGCTCAAATCCGGCTCTTTAAGCCTAGTTTTGTTCAAGTATAGCCTGTTTGATTGGACTCTTCTAATTTACAACTTGCGATCTGTATTATCACCCATTGTACACAACAATTTCTTTCCAGAAGGGACTTTAGAGATCATCTGGTCATACCTGTTTCGAGGTCTTTTTTTTTTTTCTTTGTACTATTTAGGAAGAAAGGAGTTGGCAGATCAATAATAAAAGATTAAAGGATGGTTTCTTTAGCATTGTTTTATGTACAAATCATACACTGATTACAAATGACTCTTATCTAATACTTGAAACAAACTTGATGATAGTCGGTCTAACACAGAACTGTGATGTAAGTCAGAGTTTGATCCTGGAAACTTCCTGATTGCCCTCTCTACATACCTGCTTTGCATCAGTCAAGTGTGGACAGGAAGCATATTGCATTTTCCAAAGGATCATTGAAAAGAGCTTGCAAAGGTGCACCAGAGTTAAGGGAACCTACAAGGAATGGTGAGGCACCAGGGGACTAGCAGCAATAGGCATCTGTTTTATTTACTACCCCTAGCTCTGAGTGGCAAAGGAATGAGCTGTTACTGGAACTTAGGAAGAGCTATGGCCTTGGGAAAGGGCCCTCAGGAAAGGAGCTATAGTTCTTGTTTGGAGGGAAGTAGCTGCTTTAGTTCATTGTAAGATGAACATGTCAACGATGAAACTGGAAGAATATATGCATCCTCTTCTGTCTTTCACTACCCTGTGATCTCTCAGAACACCCCACTGGACAAACCTAACAGGAAGCCAAAAGGCAGAAGAACCCACATGCTCTATAATCCAAAGGGTCAGCCTCCTGGGGCAGGATGGAGAGAGGATCTAGAAGGGCAAATGGAAGATATCCCAGCACAGGCCTCTAGATTCCCCACCTGCTTAGCATTGCCACACACACCGTGTAGCCCCACCCAACCAGTCGTCCCCACCTAGCTCCTGCCTCCCTTCCTTACAATTTATTTGTGAAGTGGCTGGTTTGCCAGTACTAGATACCTGCTCTAAAGGAATCCTCATTGATCATCTGAAAACACTCCTCCTAGGGACTTGATTTCACATACCATCTCAACAACTGGGTCTGTGGCAGGTAGAGTCAAGAAAATTTTGGGGAACCAAGGGTCTCTCAATTTCTGCTGTGGGTGACTTTGTACCATCTGTGTGTAAGCACAACCCAGCTCCACAGAGCCTCTTCTTGAAAGTCTTTTTCAGGGAGCTAATCATAATGATCTGAAAGTAACAAGCTACCCCACAAATTTTCATATCAAGTTGTCACCCAATAGCTATGTTTTTATTGCGTTCATACAGTGAATTACGGCCTTTCATCACTTTTTCATGAACTTTATTTACCCTCAGTTAGTTTGGATTAGGAGTGTTTTATTATAGTCTCTTTCTGTGTAACTGCTCTTCCTTGTTTGAAGAATTAGGCTCTTGTTGTTCCCAGTCTAGTCAATCCATCAGAGCACTGTGTTTTCTGCTCTTCCTTGCCCCAGTGACAAATGTATGACCAACCTGTCCCCATCCAGTCACTTGGCTTAGCATTTATCCTGGAATCTCCTGAATTCACATTTCTATAAGGTTTATAGAAATAGACTCACAGAGCTTAGATGGGAAGGAAAAGGAAACAGGATGATCTAGGCAGTAAGAAGAAAGGGGCGAGAATTGATGATCTTAAAAAATGACTTTGATAGCATACAATTGCTAGAATCTCGGGCTCTGCAACTGCCTGAGTCATGTCTCCTTCTCCCACAGTCTTC